CTAGAGAACTTAAATTTTGTAGAATTTTAAATCATTAGAACTGAATCTTCAATCACAAAAGATTAAGATTTCAGAATTTAAAAAAATGGAAAAAACAAGTTTTGGAATTTTACAAATTTTACAAGATAAAGTAGTAATTTAATTTTAATTTTTTAATAGTAAAAAAAAAATATTTTTTTTAACCCTAGAATTTTGGAAAACAGTTACAATTTTCAGAAATGTAGATTTCTCTTGAACGTCTGAACTTCAATGTTTTAGAACTTTTTTTTTTTTAAATTTCTGCGTTGGCAGGGCTTGGGCAAGTTGGGCGGTGCTTTGGCCAAATTTTTGGAGAATTGTGGCGCCACCTGTGTTGGAATCAAAGAACAAGAAGTTTTCATTTACGACACTGGGGGTATAGACGTCCAGGTTTTTTCACACTTTCCCACTTCCAAAATTCCCCGAAAACCCCTTTTTAGAGCGTTTTAGACCACAAAAAATCCAACGGTGGTTCAATCCAGAATTACACCAACGCAAAACCCGTTTCAAACGATAACATTATTTTCAAAGAACCTTGCGACATCTTGATTCTCGCAGCCGAACAAAAAAGTCTAATTTGTCACATCGCTGATAAGATTAAAGCCAAAGTGGTGGTCGAAGCCGCAAATGGGGCTATCACACCAACAGCTCACCGGATTTTAACAGGAAGAAAAAAATTAATACTTCCAGATATTTATGTCTCTTCGGGGCATTCGATCGCCTCTTATTTGGAGTATTTGGTTCATTTGAAGCGAAATGGGGTTGAGTTTCCGGTTTTGAGACATTTGTATTGGAATATTTTGGATTACTTTGGGGCTGAGAAGGTCAAAGGGCAAGTGGTGTCGACGGCTACTACGCAGAAAATTCTTTGTTGTGAGGTGAAGCCGGACATTTTGTGTTATGGGATCGAGCATGTAATGGCGGAGACGGGAAAAGTGAGGTTACGGTGTGATTTTGGAAGTTGTTTTAATTAAATTTCAGGAATTGATTGAAATTGCTAAAGAATTTGGAATTGGTTTAGATTTGAGGACAGCGGGGTATATTAAGGCCGTTCTGAGTATACACAACTCGATTTACGAAGCAAAAAAGTACTGATTTTGTAAATTCGAAAATTTGATAAATAATTACTCGAGTTTTTGTTTTCTTTAAATTTCAAACTTCCGAAACCTTTAGAATTTTGGAATTTAAAATTTTAGAACCTATACCATCTTAGAGTTTAAGAAGCTCTTCAAAAATAATAGGATTCTTGAATTTTTAGAATCTTTAATGTCTACAATTTTCAGTAGTGTGGAATCTTGAGTTTTCAATTTTTTATTATTTGTGAAGTTTTATATTTGAAAATCTTAGAACTCTAGCATTTTAAAAGTTCAATATTTTTTGAATTCTAGAATCTTCAAAGCCTTCTACATTTATTCAATTTTGGGAATCAAATTTTCAGGGTGTTCAGATCTTCAAAAACATCAGAATTTCGAGAATTATTTCTAAATTTGTAAGATATTAGATTTTTCCAAACTTTTGAATTTAGGAACTTGGTAATCGTAGGGAATTGTAGAACTCCAAAATTACGAATAGATAATTTAAAAAAAATTTAGATCTTTAAATTTTCAGTATTGTGGAATTTTAATTAGAACATAAAAATTGAATCTTTAAATGCTTTTAACATTGCAAACTCTTCAGTTTTTTTTAATTTTAGACTCTTTAGGATCTTTTAATCTATAACTTAGAAATTTTTGGAAAATACAGGGTGTTTACGGTCTTGAAGTTGAAATTTAAATGAGATGATATTCATGGTGGAAGAAAACTAATATGCTATATAAAACAAAAATTCACGTTGTTAAAGTAAATTATTCATTTTACACTATTTGTTTGAGAACTGCTGCTTCGGCTGCAACAATGGCCATTAGTATCATTACCTTGTGTTTCACCGTAAATCATAATCACGACAACCAATTTATTATTTTAATCTTTTGCCTTACATGTTTATAAATTTGGAGAAAAATTAAGAAAAACGAATCAAACCTATTGGAAACCATTCGCTGAAAGAGATTAAACAGAAGATCTTCGAATTTTGATAAAAACTAAAGCAAAAGGAAATCAAATGATGACAGTGTCAAAACTATGAAGTGACTTTTCTCTTTCATTATCATGGATACGATTTTTTTATCTGTTGTAACAATACAATTTTATCTTAACAAGGAAATAATTCCAGTGACCCTCAAACCGTGTACCAATATTTTGGAGTTAAATAACATTCTTGATAATAACAATTATATGAGTTTTTTTTCTAGGTTACAGTATTTCTGTACTCTTCTATTACTAGGTCAATTTTCAACTCCAAGACTGTAAACACCCTGTATAAACAATAAAACCACAAAATTTTGTAAAATCTATTATTTATTAAAATTTAATAGATATTTACACGAGTTTTTGTTTGCTTTATACAAAATATATTATTTATCACTTTATATACATAATTATAAATTATTTAAAAGGAGTATTAAAGGAGGTACTTTCTTAAATCAATCATTTTCCATTAACAGGCGGTAAATATTCTCTTGTAGGTTCTTCTGGTTTGGAACTTGGGAAAGGAACAGAAGGGCGTCCACTAGGATAACCTTCTCCAGGTCCTAAAGGAGCTTGTGGCCTTCCTCCAGGTCCTTGTGGAGCAGCTGGAGGAGCTCCGGGTCTTCCTTGAGGTCCTGTTGGAAATCCTCCTTGAGGTCCTGAAGGAGGAGCTCCCGGTCTTCCTTGAGGTCCTGTTGGGTATCCACCAGATCCTTGAGGCGTTGTTGGGAATTCCCCAGGTCTTCCTTGGGGTTCTGTTGGTCTAGCTGGAAAACCTGTTGGTCTTTCTTGAGGTCTTGTTGGGTATCCTGGTGCAGCTTCTTGAGGTCCAGTAGGGAATCCTCCAGGACCTTGTGGTGCTGTTGGAAATCCTCCCGGTCTTCCCTGAGGTCCTGTTGGGTATCCTTCAGGTCTTGCTCCAGCTCCTGAAGGACCTTGAGGTGCTATTGGGAATGTTCCAGCTCCTTGAGGTCCGGCAGGGAATCCTCCAGGTCCTTGTGGTTGTACTCCAATTGGCCCTATTGACAAAATTTTTAGCAATTATTGTTCAAAATTTTTGGTGGTGGTACCTTGGGGTTGTGGTCCTTGTTGGGCCCCCACAATGGAGTAATCGTAGATATTTGCGTTGATTCCATACAAAGAAGGAGCTGAATTACAATCAAACTGGTTCCACCATACACAAACCAGGTACTCTTGATGAAAGATGGTACCATTGGGACATAGAAAATCATAAGTTTTATTGTTTGCACAAATATGGAAAACTTGACATCTGGTTTCAACATCGGCGTAATATCCTGGATATTGCTGTTGGTCACAAGAAAAGGATGTTTGAGGAATTTCGGAAAAAATGGGATAATCCTTATCAGGTTCTCCGGGAATTGCTGAATAATCCCCTTCTTCCTCGTATTCTCCTGTATATTGTCCTTCTTCTCCCCCACCTTGAGCTCCTGGGAATGTAACGGGAGGTCCTTGGGGCCTTGGAGGGAAACCCCCAGGTGCTGGAGTACTTCCCGGAAAACCTCCAAAGTCAGAGACGGGAGTAGTACCAGGAAAACCACCAGGTTTAGAGAACGGTTGCGAGGGAGTTGGAGGACTTGGAAACCCTCCTGGACCAGCGGGAGGATATCCAGGACCAGATGGAGTAGGCGGAAAGCCGGGTCTAGACGGAGTTGGAGTACTTGGGAAACCTCCAGTAGGGGGAAATCCAGGTCTAGGTGGAGCTGGAGGGCTTGGGAAGCCTCCAGTGGGGACAAATCCAGGTCTAGATGGAGTTGAAGGGCTTGGAAAACCTCCAGTGGGGGGAAATCCAGGTCTAGATGGGGTTGGTGAACTTGGGAAGCCTCCAACTTGGCCGGAGGGGGGATATCCAGGGCCGGATGGAGTTGGAGTACTTGGAAAACCTCCAGTGGGGGGAAATCCAGGTCTAGATGGGGTTGGAGGACTTGGGAAGCCTCCTACTTGGCCGGAGGGGGGATATCCAGGGCCGGATGGTGTTGGAGTACTTGGAAAACCTCCAGTGGGGGATGGAGTTGTAAAGCTTGGGAAACCTCCAACTTGACCAGCAGGGGGATATCCAGGACCCGAGGGAGTTGGAGTACTTGGGAAACCTCCAGTAGGGGGATATCCGGGTCTGGAGGGAGTTGGGGGGCTTGGGAAACCTCCAATTTGACCAGCAGGGGGATATCCAGGGCCGGATGGAGTACTTGGGAAACCTCCAGTGGGGGGAAATCCAGGGCTTGATGGAGTTGGAGGGCTTGGGAAACCTCCAGTGGGAGGAAATCCGGGTTTTGATGGAGTTGGAGGGCTTGGAAAACCTCCAGGTTGAGGGGGTCCATAAGTAGGGGGAGTAACTCCTGGAAATCCTCCCGGGGCTGGAGTAGGTCCAAATGGTTTCTCCGGTCGTTGATAATTATATCCTTCTTGTGCCTAATTTTAATTATAATAATTAGTTTTAATTGAAATTACTTCAAAAACACCAGATATATTTTGTTTTTTAAACTTTTCTATTAATTAATTATACAAAAATCTGTAAATTTCGTTAATTTAGTTAATAAATTTAATTAATTTAACGTTTTTTCAGATCGGTAATTCGAAAAAATTGTTACTTGATACAAAAATGAAATGATAAAAACAGTGGATTC